CATATTTGCTAAGTAAAGGTGAAAAAAACGCCATTTCGCAAAATAGTAATTCTGTCAAAATTAATACTTTGCGAAACGAGTTCTATTAAAAATTTCACTGCCTTGTTTTTGAAATGTTTTTTATCAATGAACTGAAACCAACGCTAAACAAACAGTGTGATTCAACTCGCGCCAAACTATTTGTTTAGAAGAATTCGGGCTACGATTATTTCATTATTTTATTCTTTTATTCTTTTACTCTCTTCCATTGTATATTGTTTACACTTTCTCACATATTTTAACGTTCGCCACATTTTGTTGTCTTCAACTTGCTTCAACATATTTATCATGATTTGGAAAACTTACTCACTTGAAAATGACCTCAGAGAGGTCGAAACGTCGTGACTTAGCGCTAGCTTTTATTTCAAAGTAGATTTCTAAGAAACTACTCATTAAGATTTCTGTTATGGTCAATAAAATGAGAGGTGACCAGGCTCTTAGAAATATTGATCATTTTATTAGTGGAAACATTTTGTTTCAGAAGAACAGGACATCTTTGTTAAATAAAGGTGAAAAAAAACGCCATTTCGCAAAATAGTAATTATGTCACAATTACTACTTTGCGAAACGAGTAATATTATGGTTAATAAAAGAAAGGTGACCAGCCTCTTAGAAATATTGATCATTTTATTAGTGGACACATTTTGTTTCGGACGAAGAGGACATATTTGCTAAATAAAGGCGAAAAAACGCCATTTCGCAAAATTTCGTTTCGTTTCGTTTAGTTTCGCAAAATAGTACAATTTCGTTTCGTTTCGTTTCGTTTCGCAAAATAGTATAAGCCTTCGAAGAGCTGGTTTCGCAAAAGACAGTACTGGTTTACTCGTTTGGTTTCGTTTGGTTTCGCAAAATACAGTAAGCCGTTGGTAGTTCAGTCTTGGAGGCAATTCCCAACAGGAGTTACAAGTAATTTCGCTTTTATCAATTTAGCTGATAATGTAAATTGGCCGTCGTAAGGGGCTTAAAACTGACATTTCGAGCGTTAACTCTTCGTCAGAGTGAAGGGCTAACGCTCGAAACGTCAGCTTTGAAACCCTACACGGTGGCAATTTACCGCTCAACTCAGTTGAGAAGGACTATGATGTACAATATTCTTCATAAGGAAAGGAACTTGTCTCGACGTGTGCATTCATGCTCTCGGGTGGTGAAACTTTGTTTGCGTCTAGAAACCGTCAATTCTTTCTCAATCAAAGAACTTGTCACTCAGAGAGTTCTTCGCGAAGAGGAAAACATATTTACAGAGGATAAAGATCAAGTGGCTGTTTTGCGCGAAACAAAACAAACCAAATAAGGCTAGATACTTAATAAAGGGATCCTTCCTCGATAAAACTTGATAATGAAGATGAATGAAATCCCATAATTTGGACTGTTAATCGTCCCTAACAACTGGGCATTTTCCGTTCTGATCGCTTGTTCCTTTTCGAGGACAGCATGCTTTCGGCGTCACGGATAACACAACACTACGTCACGCACTCGCTAACAAATAAAAAGTGAAAACTGTTCCGGCTTCGAAAGATTCCATTTCAATCTGCCATGCAACCAATTATTTGTAATTACAGCCAGCTTCACGGAGATGAGAATTAAGTATGCTGTGGCACCTGTCGCGTTCTCGACTGCGATTGGTGGACAATCGAGGCGACGCTGCTTGAACCATAATGCCTCGTTTGAACATTTACTTCTGGCCCGGGTTGCTCGAATGTTGGATAACGTTATCTACTGGATATCTCTCTCTCCAGTGGATAGCGCAGTATGTTTTGTGAATACTTACCCGCTAGATAGCGATTTATCCGTTGGATAGCTTTGTCCGCGTTTTGAACAACCGAGAAATCACACTTTAATCGCATGGCAGGTGGTGGAAAAACTAAGATAAAGAAATCGAATATTAAATAACCATAATGACCGAACAGAAGGAGAAGGAAAACGAAGATAGGACTAAAATAACGATGAACTACGCTGTCCAACTCCTTCGAGGCTAAATGTTCGCGGTTTGCCTTATTTCAAAACAAGACATTCCCAAACAAACCTTTATAAGTATAAAACGTTGCGCAACACGGTAAGAGTCACGTCCGCTTTTCTAGTAATGAGCTTGGGCTGCCTGAGTGTGAAATCACCAAATTTTGCGTTGAAAAGTCACCTAAAGAATGCCAAACCCGATGAGTTTTGTTCTCGACCTGTTATGGAATAAATGTCTATTGTAAATATAAATTCCAGATTCTTCTCAAAACAAAGGCGCCAAAAAAGCGTCGATAGCGCCGGTTAATTGACATTTGGTAATGGCGCTTGTTTACGCGAATTAAGTGGCCCTTTCTTGAAGGTCAAAAGATTAGTAGTTTCTGCTTTCCTCAAGGCGCAAATATGAATGGAAGCAGTGAAATGAGACTTAAGAAGCAGCTGATGTAAATTTTTTCCTCTTACTGATCGATTAAGCCTGGTGTTCATCGCAAGCACAAACATCGGCAAGCTTATGATAAATGTGCAAGTGGACACGAACGGCGTAGATAAGCACATACACTGCTAGCACAAGAGAAAGGAAAAAATCTGATCTGTGTGCTTGAATATATGCTTGTCGGTTGGAAGCTAGTCTCCTCTCGCAGCCGTTCTTTGTCTCGGGATCCCTGTCACACAGGGATCCCGAGACAAAGAACGGCAGCGAGAGGAGACTAATTGGAAGCCGTTTCAAGGTGAAATATAAATATCTGTCAGTTTGCTTGTGTGCGTGGTTGCGTCGCTAATGAAAACCAGCTAGGCTTGAAATAGCAGCAATCAATTCAAAAATTAAACTAAGGCTTGTTAAATCTTAATCATTTAATGCAATACGTAATACTCAAACTGAAATACAACTACAACATAAGAACACACGAAAACCCGCGGGTGTCATGTGAACTCATGAAAATATTGGTTGTTATGAACATCTTGACATCTTGGGAAACTTGATTTCATCAAACTTTCCTACGATATCCTACTTTGGATCTCTCAGACAGTCTATACTCTACTTCTGTGTCTTCATTAGCTCAAGTAGTAGACAACATTCTTCTGCGAGATGCGAGATAATATCTTGTAACACCTTCCTCCACGGCTAAATCGAAACCTCCGTATCTTTTCGTATATATTAGTTCTTTCTGAATGTTTTGATTCTAGCTAAACCACTGCTGGACCATGAATCTCTTCAATCACAGCCTTCCCATCATCACCATCACGGCGCGGTGTTGATCGGCGACAAATGAGGAGGAAGAGGTAAAAAATCGCTTCACAGAAGAACAAACCAGCAGCTATGAAGCCACAGATGCCTGATCCAATCATTACATCCCCTTTCACATAGGTATTCCCTGCGTCGTACACAATTCCAGAACCAACGAATAAAGCCACCGAGAGGGAAAAACATCCGATCATTCCAAGCAGTGGCATCACCTTCTCGAAACAGTTGACGCTTCTTAAAATGATGTGCAGGACCACGAAGACGAAAGCACACGTGCTTATGCCCACTTGATACTCGTATCGGATGTGGTGGTAGTAGGGGTAGCTAAGCGTTAGAATAGCCGCTAAGAAAGTCATTACCGTCTCGATGAGTTTCACCCATCCTTCCACCGTGATCACTATCCACCCACAACTGCAACATCTTCGTGTTTCCTGAGGAGAAGTCGATCCGTCCGCCATAGCTGTTTTGGATACTGAGGATGGTGGAGAAGGTAGTAAAGCGTTGCTGTGTTGGGTGGGCCACGTGGGCTTCCCGATAAACATCCGTTGTTCGGAAAGGAACCCCATCCTCGGAGACCCAGGTGCTGTGAGTCGATTTCAAGTTAGGGCAGAAGAGCCCCTGGGGACATTGGACCTTTAAGCTCTTTTATTTTTATTGCTGAAATGTGATCGACTATTTTATAGATCGTTTTCACGTGACGTCACAGAATTAATTTCCGCCATGTTGGTGCACATCCGAGTCACGTGTTTCAGTAAGAAATATATGCAAACAGAGTCCAAAGTTATAATTCTTCTCAGTTCACTGTCGAAAATTATGGCTTCCGAGGAAAAAAAAAATTCTTCGTCTGATCCTGACAATGTTGTTCAAATTCCCCTGTCTGATTACGCTAAAAAGCTGGATGGGAAAGTCAGAGAGCGCTACGTTAAGAAAATCTCGACGATTGGAATCGATCCTGCCTTGATAGAGGGGAAACACTTCGAACCTGACTGTCTTCCGCCGGTTGAATCGACAGATTTACTCTGTTATTTGGTTCTTGAGACCAGCTTTTACACGCAAAAGCAATTTAAAGCCTTTCGTAGTCTGGAAGCTTACAATCAAATGGTTTCGGGGTTTGTTTACAACGTGCAAGGGCATATGGTCGCAAGCAAGTTTGTCGTGTTGGCGAAAGTGCGGCACTCTCAGCGGATGAACGAGGCCTTGATTCCAATCTGGATCATTACCGAGAAAGATGGAACAATAAACTGCGCGCATTGTCTTGGATGTAAGGCTGGACTTGCTGAATCATGCTCGCATATTGCTAGCGTGCTTTTTTACCTTGAGGCCTGGACAAAGGTGAATGGAAGGCTGGCGTGCACGCAAATGAAGTGCAGCTGGATACTGCCAAGCTTCGCAAGCGAGGTAGAATATGTTAGGGTCCGCGACATAAATTTTAAATCAGCCAAGAAGTTAAAAGTGGACCTAGACAAAATGATTGAAAATCTCTCTGAAGAATTAGAGCTTTCTGGGATCTCTAAACGCCAAAATGAAAGCGCTGTGCCCAAACCGGAAGTGCCAGCACCGTCACAAGCGGAAGTGGAAGAATTTTATTCTAAACTAAGTAAATGTAACTCAAAACCTGTTGTGCTGAGTTTGGTCCCCCCATACGCTCAGAGTTACGTGCTACCGAGCCGAAATATATCCACTGTGATGGATATGTTCAAAAAGGAGAACTTGGAACTCTCTTATAACGAACTATTTAAACTGTGCCAGAGCACCAGCATTGAGATTACAAAAGAAAAAATTGATCAGGTGCAAAAAGACACCATTTCACAGTCGNCAGCTCACTTTGGGCAATGTCGGGTGTGCTTGGTGCCGGAGGCTTTGGTGTGGGGGAGATGGTTTTGAGGTCTGGTGCGCTGATGGTGGGGTCTGGGGAGGGGGGTGGTTGCTGTCGCGGCTGATCGGTGGGTGCGTTCGTCTTTGAGCTCAGAGGATTGCAGTGTGGCGCGAGGTTGTGTCCTGGGCTGGGTGGGAGTATAGATGGAGGACAAGGTGGTTTTGGGAGAGAGGGAGGTGCGGCACGCCTGATGTGTATCCGATTTCGTCGAATAGTGCTGTGTGGTGTGTGTATGGTATAAGACCTTGAGTGGCGTTTTCCAGTGACGCGGCCATATGCCCATGGGCTTCCTGGTTTGCTTGTTGGAGGATGTGCGTACACAAACTCGCCAATGTTTAGTGGGGTGTGCTCTGGACCTGCTGTCTTGTCATAGTGAGTTTTACTGGCGTTGCGCTTGGCCTCGATCTCTGCTGAGACAGTGTCACGGTTGATTGACATGGGCTCCAGAAGGTGGTCAGGGGTTGGGAGTGTTGTTCTGGTTCGACGGCTCACCATGCGTTGGGCAGGGGTGTAAGTGTGGCCTTTTGGTGGTGTATTCCTGTAGTTGAGCAAGGCGATTTGGAGGTCATCTGATTTCTTTAGCATAGACTTCGATACTTTCACTGCTGCCTCCGCTAGTCCATTGCCTTGAGAATGGTAGGGGCTTGAGGTGGTATGTTTGAAGCCATTCTGAGAGGCAAAGTTTGTGTAATCTTGGCTGGTGAATTGTGGGCCGTTGTCAGTGTGCCAGATTCTTGGAATCCCAAACCTGGCAAAGTGAGCCTTAGTTTTGTTTATGACAGTTCTTGTCAGTGTCATCAAGGGCATCCACCTCAATCCAATCAGAAAAGTGGCATACTGTCACAAGGTAAGCTTTCTGTTTGTGCTTGAAGATGTCTTGGCTGATTATCTGCCATGGCAGTGTGGGGATGGGGAGTGACTTCATGGGCTCCTTTGTTGACTTTGAACCATACTTTCCACAGGTAACTACAATCATTGCACATATCAAAGACTGCTTGTCTCATCCCGTGCCAGAATAGCACTTCTCGTGCCATGCGTACATTAGACTCGGGGCGGAAGTGGTCTGCATGGATTTTGAGCAGCATCTCCTCTTGCATGGACTGTGGTATCATTACTTGTGCACCTTTGTAGATAAGGCCATTGTCTGTTGTTAGTTCATCCCGGTAGGTCCAGTATGGTCGAAGAGGGTGCTGTACCTTCTTTCTTTCATCTGGCCAGCCTTGAGCAACTGTGGTCATTAACTTGGAGAGGTGTTCATCTTTTTTGGTTTCATCGCGTAAGCGGGATTGGGTGGTTTCTGTGAGGCGTGGGTTGTGTGTATCAGATTCCTCTGTGATTTCAGTCCTGAATACTTCAAAGTCTGTGATCCGGGCGTGAACTGGGGTAGGCAGTGCGGCTCTGGAAAGGTTGTCTGCCAGGTAAAGCGAGGTACCTTTCTTGTACTTGATATTGAAGCGGTATCGCTGCAGTCTCATCAGCATTTTCTGTAGTCGTGCTGGGGCTTTGTGCAGGGCCTTTTTGCAAATTGTTTCAACGGGCTGGTGGTCCGTATGGACTTCTATGTCAGATTTGCCATAGAGCCAGTGGTCGAATTTTCCAAATGCATTGCAGATAGCCAGGCACTCTTTTTCTATTTGAGAGTATTGTTGCTCTGTTGCATTGAGGCTGTTGGATGTGTAGGCGACGGGTTGGAGGCGTCCTTCGCTGTTGGGCTGGAGGAGGGCGCCGCTCACACCTTCTTCACTTGCGTCGACTTGAAGTGTGACTGGTTTATTGAGGTCATAGCATTGGAGCACTGGCGCGGTGGAAATGAGGTGTTTAATTTGGCTTTGTTGAATGCGTCATCTTGTGCTTGTGCCCATATAAAGGGGGTATCTGACTTGGTGAGTTGAGTGAGGGGCCGGATAACGGTGCTGAGATTGGGGCAATAGGGCGAGAGGTAGTTGGCCATTCCCTCGAATCTCTGTACACCTGCTTTGTTTCGTGGTGGAGCCATTTCCGAGATTGCTGCTATCTTCTCTGGGTCTGCCTGCATTCCTCGATCAGTGATAAGATTGCCCATGAACTTGACTTGTTGTAGTTTGAACTGTAGTTTGGTTTGGTTTATTTTTATGCTCTTTTTTGAGCAGCGCTCCATGAGGGCAACAAAACGGCGTCCATAAGGGCAACAAAACGGCGGCCATGGTCTTTCTCAGCTTTTTGGTAGGACGTTCCTTCGCCAAAGACAAGTATATCATCTGCTATGCATAGTACTCCGTCGAAGCCCTCTAGAGCCGACATGAGGCGCCTTTGAAATTCCTCGGGGCCGCTCGATATGCCAAATGGGAGGCGGAGCCATCGGTATCTTCCGTAGGACGTGTGCATGGTCGTCATGAAGGATGATTCTTCATCAAGGGGTACGTGTGGGAACTCTTCTCTGACATCAACGAGTGAGAAGCATTTGGCATGGCAGAGTTTGTGGAGTTGTTCGGGCAGTGTTGGCATTTGGTATATTGGTCTGAGAATACCTTTATTGACTGTTTGACTGGGGTCAATGCAGATTCTTGTCTTCTTGGGTGTCTCTTTGATGACTTCATTGGAGCACCACGAGGTGGGTTCCTCTACGTTTGTTATGATACCGGCTGCGGCGTATCGGTCAAGGGCTTCCTTTTCTTTGATGCGTTTAGCTATCGGGGGACTCGATGAATGAGCATCTGTATGGGTGAGACGTCAGCTTTTACTTCGAAGTGAACTGGGGGTCCCAGGCAGCCAAGGCCTACGAAGTTTTCAGGATATTGTGTCAGTATATCTTCCTTTGTGAGTTTCCCAGGTGGGGCCAGCTGTCGTTTCCATGGGATCATTATGGGTTTGGAGGGCGAGGGCAAGGGCGTTCCTGGGTCACCGTACGGCCTGTCTTTGTGGGGTTGGTTAGGCTGGCAGCCTTCTACTTCCTTGGGAGTGCTGTAGGTTGCAGCCGTTGGGTTGCCTAGGTCGGCGTTGGGTTGTGACGAGCCGGTTTGGTGAGCAGGGGCTCTCTTGCCTGAGGAGTCTTTTACTGCTGGTGTAAGGGAGAATATTTTATGGACCTTGATGATAATAAGCCCCAGGGCCTCGCAGTCGGAGCCAGAGAGAAGGGCTGGTTTTTTCATCATGACATGTCTGGGAAGTATCTGGAATGTGAGCGGTTCATATCTATTGTTTCTTTCGCATAGAAGGTCAATCTGTCCCAGTGGTTTCAGTAGCGGGGAGTCGCCGTAAGGGTGGAGTAGGTAGGGTGACTTTGTCAGCTTCATATTTGGCGTCAGCTTGAGAAGGACATCTTCGGACAAGGTATTGCAGGTGGCGGCGGTGTCTATCTGGGATGTCACTGGGGGGAATTTGTTCCCAGTTGCGGACATGGGCAGTGTAACAAAGTATTTTTACTTCGCGTGGTCTGTATGGACACAGTGTATTTGTCGTGTTTCCAGGGAGTAGCACTGTTCCTGGTAATCATCCGTGTAATATGTCACAGGGTGCTGATCATTTGCCGTCTGCAGCAGATGTATGTTTTGTTCTCGAGGGGGTCTTGGTTGGGAGCAGCCGCGAGGTGTTCTGTGGCCTCAACCCCTGCCTTGGGGTTGCCACTGGGTGGTTCTTCGTGGTTGTTCTTGTTGCAGGGGATTTGTCTCAAGACAGACTCTAGAGAAGTGGTCGTTAATTCCACACTTGGTGCAGGTTTTGCCATTTGCAGGGCATGCTTTCCAAGGATGAGGTCCGCGTCGATCCTCACACCAAAAACAGGTACCGGGCTCCCGCTTTAGTTTCTTCTGTTTATGGCTTATCCAATTTACTTGTTCCTCGATTCCTTTTGAGGCGTCTGCGATTAGTTTGTTGGCTTTTTGAGCCGACTCAAGGGCTTTGGCTTCGGCTACGACGTCTTGCATAGTCTTAGGTGTTCCATCCGGTTTTAAGTGTGTTTTGAGTAGCTCAGCTCGCATTGTGCTATCATGTAGGCCAAAAACGAATTTTTCGCGGCACATTTCGTCGGTCAGTGCGTTGTACGAGCATAAGCTGCCCGCGTGTCTGACCTTAACCTCCCATTCTTGAGTGGACTCGTGTAGAGTTTGCTGAGTGTTCCAAAATTTAAATCTATCTGCCAGTAAGGAGCTTCCGGTAGATCCCGTGTAATGAAGTCGTAGTCTGTCCATCCAGATCCAGGGTTTTTTCCGATCAGCATCTGCTATCTGGGGTTCAATTGTGTAGCGGATCACTTGCAAGGCTTCGTCCGGCATTGCCGATCGAAGCGCCGATATTTCCAGCAACGGTTTTTTGTAGTAATCCGCTCTTTCTGTCTCGAGGTTTTCGCCAAGTTTCTGTAGGTCCGCTTGGAGACAGTAGTCGTGGAATCTGAGTTCAAAGTTCTTGAAGTTTGTGACATATTCCCGCTGAGTTTCAATTCAGGTCGTTTGAGGCTTGTAGCCATTGTTGTTTACTAGTTCGCCGCTATCGTTTGCTTTGGATGAGTATGTAATTTCCACAGATCCTTCTCTTTCCGATTTATCTGGTCGATCCCACTCCTGACACCATGTCAGGCGGCAAGGACGACTCAGTGAACAACGTGAACAATCTTTATTTCCAAACTCGAGCATGAGGAGCTCGCTCTAAGTAACTAGAACGTGATGCCCGTAGCCCGTAAGTAGTTTCTCTCAGAGGGGGCCTAAGTACGGGTGACGGGTCAACAGCGATTTGCTAAGAAATATGGAGACGAGTGCTTCCTTCCCACCGTTGTTGTAAAGATCTTTTAAGTCATTGTAACACAGACCGCGTTTTGCAATTTTCTGAATGATGTTTTCTCTGACGAGGAGTCCGTTATCGCCCTGTGAATAGAGCTTGTCTTTGAAAGTTTACATGCGTTCGTGGCTTCCGTCAAGAAATTCCATGTTTTCGAAAGCGAATGAGGTGGATTTCACATTGCTGTTGTTTACAAATGTCAGCGCTTGTTAGCTGCTACGGGGATTGAAAGAGGACACAGTGGAGGGCACGTACATCTTCCAAAGCATCGCGTGCGTTGAAATCCTCATAAAAAAACAACTTGATACACAGAAGGGAGATTGCTTTTACATGGTTTTCCGTCAGGATTGAGAAGAGCGTTACCACCTTTGGCGAGTGTTTAGATGAGTGTAGGGCTATCGGCGAAAAACACTTTCTTCGACGATAATGTTTCTTTACTTTGAATTTCCAGCACATCGTAGGGGTGTAGGAGTGTCGAACACAGAAGAATTATGGTCAATTAAAACGGTGTGACAATGCGTACTGCTAGAAAGGAAAGTGGTAAAGGATTGAACACATTCGCTCAGGAGTGTACTGGAACATTCTCTTTGAGCAAAGTTCTCTCACCATTCACAGTTTTGACAGTGACTTGTTTACACGAGAAGCGTAGCTGCCGATATTGCAGGTAGGTAGCACCTATTTAGTGTTCCGGAAACCAGCCACGATATGGGAAAATAGCTCCGACGATCGCGATCGTGTTTGCGGCTGGATTCACGCGTATTTTGGTCACTTGAGAGTGTTGTAGCTTTCCGTTTTTGAAACTCACTACTAATAAAGTTAGAGGAAAGAGTAGGCAGCCTACCTAGGGGCGTAAAACATAGTCCACTAGGCAGATGAAAAAATGATTCAGGCATAAGCGCGGTGGCCATGTTTGCTTTTTTGTGTTTTTGTTGCAAGTTTTAAAAGTCCCGGGTAAATTAGAACCCAGTCTGCGCGCGCCAAAGATACTATATCCAACCTCCTAGGTAAAAAATTCGTGGCTAAAACGCCGTTGTCGATCCAGTCTCCTCCGGTATTCTGCGTCCGTGACATCAAAAACTTCTGATGCTTAAGCTCTCTACTTTCTCAAGTCACATTGTTTATGATCAAACATAGCGAAAATCACGCTAAGGGTAACAAACGACTAATGATCACAATATTTCGCACGATTTCCGACAAAACTTTCGTTTATTAGATGTGGGCAGATAACCCTGTACTAAGCTGACAGTTACAATAAAGCAAACCCGCCCTTTCCATCCAATATTTCCTTGTCTTGGTTTAATTTGTTTTCCCCAATGAAAGCAGCATCGATTCCCAATGATCAAAGGTATTTAACTTGGTGTTCAACAATCGACAAACATGATGAGGTGAAATGACAATGACCAAGGGAGTAGAAGAGAATCCATGGCCTTTCGAGCTCAAGAATTTGAACACTCTAGGCCAGGCAGCAGTTGAAAGATTAAACTCTTTCCAAAGCCCTTCGCGGTAAATGTTTGAAAATATCTCTCCTTCCCACGATGTTCTCGATAATTAGTTTTTGTTCAGATTTCAATTAGCCAACCGGGAACACAGCTAAGCTTTCTGTAAGCGCTTGCTGGAGGTCGTCCACGAACTTAACGTTCTCCGCAACCTTGGCCATATTGTTAGCATAAGCATAACCATAAGCACAAGCGCCAGTTCCTCGATATACCTGCGTGGCCCGTGCGACGAAATAACTTTATGAGATTAGCAAAGTTTCAGTCGCAGCATATTCTACAAAAAACCTAGAAAGATTTAAGCTTACATCTCGTTTAACGTTTAAAGCGACATCAACGCATCGTTTTTTATACGAACCTCGCAAACTTTTATGCACGTTCTCTTGTGATACCTGCGAAAGTATTCATTATAATTTCCGCTGGGGTTTTCTCGGACAATCTGATCGATTTCTCTTACATTGTGCGCTGAGACTGACACTTTCCACCTCGGGCAAGGCTCCCTCGCACGGCCCAAACAACCAAAGCGAGCGACTGAGCTTCTTCTATATGAGCGTGTTAAAACACACGAAAGGACTTTAAAGCACACTTCACTCTGATTGGGCAGAAAAACACAAAGATTTTCTGGCACCAATCAGATGTCAGAACGACTGCGACCGTTTGGAACTAGTCTTGTAAGACAATGTCCCCAGGGGCTCTTCTGCCCTTAACTTGAAATCGACTCACAGCCCCTGGGTCTCCGAGGATGGATGGAAATATGACCAGATTACTCATTACCTTTAGTCTTTCCATGACCGCCGAGACTAAACTGATACATCATTTTCTGAAAAAAAAAATGAGAAGAAAAGAAAGAAGAAAAGAAGGAGAGGAGAAGGCAAGTAGGAAAGGAAGAAAGAGAGAAAGAAACGTTAGGCGTGCACGCCCCAGCTAGAGACAATCACTACCAAAAACATCAGCGAAAAATTAAAAATCTTTACAAAATTAATAAAAAGTAACAAAGTAGGGAAAAGGGAAACTCGTGGTTTTTCGAACACGAAGCTTTACTGGTTTAACTTCGTGTGCCCTGTTCATTCAGTTTTTCGGCTTTTATGCCAAAAAAACTTCGACTTTTTGTTTTTTTTTGTTCATTACGTTTTGCGGATTTTCCGTTTTCAGCATTTGGTTTTCGCTTACGAATTTTGTCGGGTACTCGGATTTGGTATCCGATGTGCTTTTTCGGTTTTCTTATTGGAGTTCCGGTTTTTCTTCAATCTGAGCAGCAGTTATACGCCTCTGCTGATCTCAAATAGCCGCAAAACCAATGTTGCTCCACTTGTAACTACAGTATCAGATCGATTAGGATTTTGACAACTGAGATGTGCAAATATATCGGTCTAGACGGTTTTGCATGCGGTTTTCGGATTTGAGCGTTTTATATTTTTTTTGCGGTTTTGTGGATTCAAATAGCCCCCAACGCCCCCTCCTTTATCATTATTAACAGTATCGCTGTTTAAGTCAACCCCGGCCCCAAAGTCCTCATCCGCTAAATCTTCTCCCTCTCAAAAGGAGGCAAGGTGGAATTTCTAGCCTAAACAGTCCAGGCTTTAAATCCCTTCTGAGAAATTTTAAGTGAACCCCACCTAAACTCCGAGTACTGTTCTTGGTTACGCTTTGTGATTCCGATTACTGTTCTTAGTTACGCTTTGTGATTTCGTATATGACATAGGGACTGCTTTGTGCGCCCACAGCACTAGCTTTTGATTGACAGAGCGAAAAGTTGGTTTAGGTATATATATGAAACCGTATGTGGAGTGTCAGGTGCCAGGTTAGACGTCCTTAACTAATCCGTGTCGTCATAACTTTTTTGTTGTGTGGTCGAAAACGAAGAATTCGCTTTCTTATGCATGTTAGGATGTAACCTTTCCCAACGATCCGAAAGATAGACATGGCTGATCTGGGCGAGGCAGGTCATGATCAAGGAACAACCACACGAAACGGTTGTTGTGATCCACGGTGGATTATAACCACAAACGAAGGATGGCTAAAACTTGTCGAAGCTATCATGACTTTCTTGACGTTTATCATTGTGTCTAGTTTTCCCGGTAGCTTCAGAGCGGAATACGAGTTTTTGATCGTCGTTGCCACTACAGCCTGGGTCTTTGTGATGCTGCACATCTTCCTAAGAATCACTCACATCTTCGAGAAGCTCCCGCCCGCTCTCACGCAGCCTCTCCTAGGAATGATCGGTTGTTTCTTCGCTTCTTTAGCCTTAGTCATCGGTGCTGGCGTAGTTTACGGTATAGGGAAAGCCTACGACTTCGATACATTAGAAACGTCAGGGATCTGCGGATTCCTATCTGCATTGCTCTTCTTTTGCGAGGGTGTTTATTTCGTCTTTCGATATTGCCGAGTGCCAGAACATCGTGCACAAGAGAAACCAACAGAAGCTTTAGAGGCTGCCGCTTTTGTGTAGCCCTCCAAGCTAGTCTACTGAGCTGAATCAGGGGGCGATATACAGGTAAGTAGATGTCATATATACTTTGAATTTCAAGCACTCGCCCCTTCTGATGAACCAGTCGAAAGTTCGTACTTCCGCTTTAGTCCATACGCTCAGAACTATCTAAGCAAATATCAAGTGCCTTTTTTCCCCTTAAATTCAACACCAGCCAAACTTTCGAAAAGAAACGAGTGTCCTCTTAAACTCTAACAGCTCTCTTTAATTTAACCAGGAAACGAGGGATTTTTTCTTGCTGCCGATGAAAGAATACTTCCCAGCCCTTGGTAAATATCAAAACCTTTCTCTGTCTTATCTAAAAAGCGTCTTTTGTGCACCTGTTTCCAATGGCTTTGGTTATGGTAATTTATGGAAATGATTTAGACATTGAACACAGACGAATAACATTTAATATGGTGCAGGGGATAATAATAATAACAGTACAACTCATTTACATAGCGCATATACAAAGGCTCTATGCGTTTTACAATGTAGTACACGGAAGTAAATAAAATGACTTATAAAAGAAATAAGGAAG